CCTCGCCCGTCGCGCGCTCCGCGGCCTCGAGGCCGCGCTCCGCTTCGCCGCTCGCGCGCCCTCGACGGCCGCGAGCGCGGCCGCGTGGGCCTCGTCGCGCCGCGCGAGCGCGGCCTCGAGGGCCGCTGCGAGGCCCGCGCGCGCGTCGGCGTCGCGCATCTCCTGGGCCGCGGCCGCGACGGCGCGGTCGCGCTCGAGGCCGAGCTGCGCCGCCTGGGCCTCGAGCGTCGCCGAGTGCGCGGCCGCGACGCCCTCCGCCGCGGCGTCGCGCTCCGCGCGGAGCGCCGCGAGCGCCTGGGCGTGGCGCTCGTCGCGCTCCGCGCCGGCCTCCTCGAGCGCCCGGTCCTCGGCGCGCTCGAGGTCGAGCTCGAGCGCGCGGAGCCGGCGCTTCGCGTCCGCGGCGTGGCGCTCCTCGAGGTCCGCCGCGAGCGCGTCGCGCGCCGCGCGCGCGTCCTCCGCCGCGGCCTCGACGCGCTCGGCGACGGTCTCGCGGTACTGGCGCTGCAGGTCCGCGGCCTCCGTCGCCGCCGTCGCGCGCGCGTCGCGGAGCGCGTCGCGCGCGGCCTCGAGCGCGGCCTCGAGCGCGCCGCGGTCCGCGTCCGCGGCGTCAAACGCCGCGGCGCCAGTCGGCGACGACGTCGGCCTCGACGGCCCGCGCGCAGGCCGCCGCGGCGTCGACGGCGCCGTAGCGCACGGCAGCGCTGGACAGGCATGGCCATCTCTCAGCCTGGGCCCATGGGCAAACATATGATGCAACTTAGCTGCAACCAACGGCGGGAGCACACGATGGGAGCAAGGGCGGGCATCGCTGCTCTCGACGGTCGGTGCTGGATCATGCTACGATCGGAGGGATCAACGGTGCAGCATGTCTGGCCGCGACCGCGCGCGCGCGGCGCCACGCGAACTTTGAACCGCGGCCGCCGGCGGGCGCCGGCCGCGCGAACCGCCAGAGGGGCTAAGATTACAAGTGGCATCGCGAGGGGGGATTGAGGGGGCGGGGGGCGGGTCGCGCGTGAGGAGTGGACGTGGGGAGGTATGGAGGCGCCGGCCGGGAGAACGTGCTGCTCAAGAGAACACGCGCTCGTAGGCGGACCAGAAGAGCATGAAGGCCACATGAAGAATGAACAAGCCGAAGCCGATGGGAATGGTGTAGCTACCCGTGTTGTGCAAAAGGCGCTTGGTCGCGTTGTTCGTCATGAGGCTGGCCTGGAAGACGCAGAGTTTTCCCATCGCGATCATGCAGAAGTAGGCGAAAAAGGCAAACTTCTCCATGGTCGTGAGGCCCTCCGCGTACTTGGTCTCGCGCGCCTCGCTCGCCGCCGCGTCGCTCTCCATCTTCGCGCGTTCCGCGTCCGCCTTCCGCTGCGCGTCTTCCAGCGCCGCCTCGGCCGCGCGCGTGGCCTCGCCGGTCTCGACCTCGATCTTGTGGGCCGCGAGGTTTGCCTTGGCGACCGCGGCCTTCTCCTTGGCAGCGACGATCCGGCCGTCGGCGTCCGCGAGCTTGCTCCCAATGCCGACGTCCGGGACGTAGAGAGGGTCGGAGTCCATGCACGCCTTGTGGCACGTCGTGAAGGCCTCCGACATCGGTAGCCCCTTGTTCTTGCACGAGGTGTCGCAAGTCGTGGACCAGTTGTCGGATAGCTGCGCCTTGATCTCGTGGGCCTCATCCATTTCGCGGTTTAGCTCGTCGAGCGCGGGCTTCTGGCACGCCAAGAGCTTCCGCAAGCCGCCGGCGCTCGAGTCGCCTTCAAACTCGTTCTTGCAGCTCTCGAGCGACCGGACCTTCCGCGGCACCACGGGCGCCGGCACGACCGCCGCCGCGTGCAGCGGCGCGGGCGTCGGCACGGGCTGCCCGGTCTCGCCCCAGCCCGGCGACCGGTTCGGCATCGCGGCCGCCGGCGGCGGGGTGAGCGCGCTGGAGCAGCTGAGGAGCGTCCCGAAGAGGAGGCCGAGGCACATCATGGTGCGGCAGACGAGGCTCGAGGCAAGTGGTGCCTCTCCTTAGAACACTCGGCTCGACACGAGGGCGGACGGCAGGTAACGAGGATCTTGAGGTTGTGATTGGTGCGACGGAGAGTGAAGCCGTGAGCTCCGCTCTCCGTGATGACGATGCGCATGCGGCGCGACGCGCCGCAGACGGCCGTCGGCGCCGGGGTCCCGGTGCAGCTCCGGGAGCCGTCGGCCGTCGACGCCGCGGCCAGCTCGGCGAGAAGCAAGCGTGTCGCGGCAATTGAGAGGCCAGCGGCTGGGCATCGGGGCTGCCTTCGGATGATGACGCGTCGGGGACCGCGAGCGCAAGCGCGCGCGCCACTCGTCAAGGATGCGCCAACGCACGTCGGCCCGGATCAGTAACGCTCCGGGTAGCCGAGCCGGCGGCGCCGGCGGCGATCGCGAGGCGGTCCTTCCGCCGCGCGTTGGGCCGCGGACGCCGCGCCGTCGCGCGCGGACCGCGCGACGTCGGCGCAGCGCTTCGGCCTCTTCGTCGAGGTCCGCGCGCCGGGCGGCACCGGGCGGCGGCGGGCGGCGGCGTGGCCTTCGTGAGCTGCTGGCTCGTCGCTCGACGTTTCGATTCGGACGCGCGTCGCGGACGCCGCGCGTTGGGCCGCGGACGCCGCGCCGTCGCGCGCGGACCGCGCGACGTCGGCGCAGCGCTTCGGCCTCTTCGTCGAGGTCGGCGGCACCGGGCGGCGGCGGGCGGCGGCGGGCGGCGGCGTGGCCTTCGTGAGCTGCTGGCTCGTCGCTCGACGTTACGATTCGGACGCGCGTCGCGGACGCCGCGCGGGCGCGCCATCGGCCGCACTTTTGTCTGCGAATTTCCTTCACATGTGTCCACGCCTCCATGGCGGCGCTCGAGATCCAAGCCGCAGGCACCGAGGCCTGGCCGGCTCGGCGCCCGGCTCTCGTCAGCGGGCCACCTCCGCGCCTCCTGCCTCGCGATCTGGCGCGACTGCGCGAAATCGTCGTCGTCGAATCCGGCCGCAACACGACGTCCACGACGGCTTGCGGGTAGCGCACCTAGCCGGACAGCCTCGCAGCCGCTCGCCGCGGCGCGGCCCGGCGAGCGCGCGCGAGCGCGCGTCCCGCCGGCTAAGCGCATGCTCGACGTCCGCCCTCCGCCGCGCCAGGACGGGTCGGGCGCACCGGGAAGGAGAGGGGTGGTTGCGGCGCGCAGCGCGTCGATCGCCTTGGAGCGGCAAGCTCGACTTCAAACAGGCTTCAAGCTCGACGATTCTCAGACCCGAGGTGGACGCTCTGCGAGCGCCTCGACCGTCATGAAGCGCGCGTTGGACGCTCTCGAGGACGACGCGGCGCCCGGCGCCGACGAGGGCCCGCTCGCCGTGCTCGAGAACGTGCTCGCGGACCTGAAGAAGGGTCGGTTGGAGCAGGAGGCCAAACGACTCGCGTCTGGCGACACGCGCACGGTACGCCAGCGGCTCGCGGACGAGGCGGCGCGCCTGGCCGCGAAGGCGCTCCAGCCCAAGGCCACGGGCGCCTGGACCGAGGAGGAGCGCGAGGCGCTGCGGGAGCTCGTCTCGGGGTTCGTCCGCGCGTCCGATCCGCGCGGGGAACGCGCGCGGCGACGCGAGACCCCATCGCAGCTCCCCGGCCGCGGCCTCCCAGTGGGACCTGATCGCCGAACTCATGCCGACGCGGCGCGACAAGAAGCAGTGCTGCACGCAGTGGTTCCGGCATGAGGACCCGGACGTCCTGCGAAGCCCCTTCACGGAGAGCGAGGTGCGCACCATCATCCAGAAGCAGTTGGCGCTCGGCGACGTCTCCGGCAAGTGGCGCTCCATCGTGGGCTTCCTGGAGCCCGGCCGGCACCCGAATTGGTGCGAGGTGGCCTGGAAAAGTTGCTTGGGGCCCCGCCTCGAGCGCTTCATCGCCGCGGAGGTCGACGCGGCGCCGAGCCTGCGCCGCGCCGCGAAGCCGTCCGCCTGGAAGATGGACAAGGAGGCGCTGCAGGAGGAGGCGCTGCAGCTCAGGATGGACCAGGGCGAGACGCGCGAGGGCGCGGAGCGCGCGCTGCGTTCCGCTGCGTTGAATTTGATTTGGTACGACATCAACAAACTCCGCAAGGAGGTCGCGCGCCTGCGGCGCGAGGTGCCGACGACGACGACGTTCGAGATCAGCGGCGACCTGTTGGAGCACGCGGTGGCGGCGGTGATGCCGTCGTATCTCAAGCCCAAGAAGCCGCGGGCCGCCTACGGGTCGAAGAAGAAGCCGCGGCTCGAGTCGAAGCCGGGCAAGAAAACCGGCCGGTGGACCAAGGAGGAGTCGAACGCGGCGTCCTTGGGGGCCCTCGTCGCGACGTCCCCGCCGCCGCCGCCGCCGCGACACCCGCGCCCCTTCCGCAGGCACGACCAGTTCGTCGCGCTCATGAAGATCCACGGCCGCTCCTGGACGAAGATCGCGGCCGCGATGCCGACGCGGGATGAGCCGCAGGTGCGGTCCCACGCGCAGAAGCAGTTGCTACGCCAGTAAAGACCATGCCTCTCTCTCCTCGAGGCGCGCTTGGGCTTGAGATACGACGGCGCTCCCTCGGCGCCTCCGGCGCCGCCTCCCGGCGCCTTCGGCGCCGCCCCACGGCGCCTTCGATCAGTAACTTCAAAACTTGCACCGCGCGCGTGCGAGTACCATCACCGAACCTAACGACGGTAGAGCGTAGATTAGACACGAAAGACGGGGCGTCGCGGAAGGCTCGGTTCCTCTAGCAAAAGAGGAGGCGAGAGAGAGGCCGGAAAGGCGGACATGGTCGGGGGAAGTCGGCCGGGCCTGGATAGAAAATAAAGGAAAGAGAGGAGGAATAAAGGCGCCCGCGGCCTCAGTGGAACCTGCGACGGGGGGGCGACACGGTCCGACGGACGCGCGCCGGACGACGACGCCGGCGCTCCGCGCCTCGAGCCGCCGGACGCGTTCTGCTGCTGGCGCGCTCGCCGGAGGAGGTCGCCCTGCGTCGCGCTGTCGCTTTTGGCGGAGGTCCGGCCGTTGGACGAGTCGAGGGACCGCGACCCCGCGAGGGCGAGGGAGCCCATGGTCGACGAGAGGCAGTCCGTCGGCAGCTGGCGGCCCTCGGCGAACGACGGCCGGCCACCGTCCGCGTCCGCGGCCTGCTTCTCGTGGACGTCGCGGCTCGGCGGGCGCGGGCCCGTGTTCGGCGCGCCCTTGTGCATGCGGTAGAGGTCCCCCTCCTGCCAGAGCGTCTGCTCCATCTCCTGCATGAAGTGCTGCTGCGGGCCGATGACGGAGCCCGGGCGGCAGACGCGCATCCAGCCGATGATCTCCGCCGCCGTGAACTTGTAGTGCTTCATGCAGTAGCAGCCGATGCACGTGCCCGTGCGGCCCAGGCCCGCCTTGCAGTGGACGCCGATCGCGCCCGTCGCCTGCTCGGCGACGGCGAGGAACTTCTTCAGGATGCGCATGGGCGGGTTCGAGCCGTCGAGGTAGTAGAGGTCGATGTGGTCCGCGCCCATCTGGATGAACTTGCTCTTGTTGTAGTAGGGCTTGTTGAGGCGCACGATGAGCCCGACGTTCTTCCGCTGGAAGTACGCCCCGTAGTCCTCGGGCGCGAGCGTCTGGTAGCCGTCGAGGTTCGAGCTCCGGTTCCGGTCGTGGGGGCCGGCGAAGGCGAAGAACTTGCCCTCGACGATCCAGTTCAGGTCGCCGTTCTCGACGGCCTCGAAGTGCTCGTACTCGGCGAGGTCGAACGCGTCGAAGTTGAAGAAGTTGAAGCGGCGCGCCTTGTGCAGGCCCTTGAGGCAGTGGAGCACCGTGACGTCGTAGGTGCAGGCGCAGGGCGACGCGTCGTGGAAGGGCGGGTAGTCCGGCCCGTAGTCGCCGAGCGGCTTCCACGCGTCCTCGGGGCTCCGGCCGAGGTAGAGCACCTGCCAGGCGCCCATGAGGAAGGCCGCGTTCGCCCGCGCGTGCGGGTGGCTGCTCGAGTAGTAGTAGATGACCTTGTCCCGCAGCTCCGGCGACTGGAGCTTCGCGTTGAGCATCGTGCAGAAGCGGTAGAGCTGCCCCAGGTTCAGGGGGCCAAAGTCGAGGAAGAAGTTCCAGTAGACGAGCGTGTCGTCGATGGAGAACCTGGAGGCGCGCGCGGCGTCGGGGGGCGCCTCCGCGGCGCGAAAGGTGCGGGACGCGGCGGACCGGACCAGTGCGTGCCGCCGCCGCGCGCGGACGCGCCGGGCTGCCTGCTACAAAAGGGACGCGGCGGTGACGCGGGGCGCCGCGCGCCGTCCGCGCGCGCCCCGCGCGCGGCACGGGCGGGCCGGGACGGGCGTTGCAGCGCGTCGGAAATGGGCGGACGCGGGCAGCCTCACCCGTCGCGGACGGCCACGTAGTAGAGCCGGTTGGGGAGGATCGCCGCCCCATTGACGGGCGAACTCGACGAATTCCGCATCGTGACGGGCTCTCCAGCGACTCCGACGGGCAGCCCGGGCCTTACTCCATTGCAAGGTCGAGCTGCGCAGGCCTGACCGGATGGAGGAGAGGGGTCGGGCGGAGGTTTTGGATTTTGAGCTTCAACATGTTGAGAGCTTGATTCGGGCGAAGAGATTCGAGAGTCAACACCGTATTGAGGTTTCCGTTATTCGGCGACATGCGACGATTATCGGTGGCGCCGCGCGAGGTCGTCGTAGTCGAAGAGGTCCGCGAAGGGGTCCGTGGTGGCGCGCACGGTGGTGGCGCGGCGCGACTCGAGGGGGTGCTGCCACGTCGTCGTCTTCGTCGCGTGGTCGAGGTAGTAGTAGCGCGACTTCCGCGGGCACCACTTCCGGCTCCAGCCGCTCGGGAGGACCGCGGGCGGCTCGCGCCGGTGCGCGCCGTCGTGGCTGCGGCGCCGCGGCGACGGCCGGCGGCGCGACTCGCGGGGCGTCGCGCAGGCCGAGCCCGTCACGCGGAGCGCGGCCGTCGGGTCCAGGGGCGGCGGCGCGCGGCGGCGCCGCGGCGGCGCGACGACGGGCTCCTCGACGAACGCCGGCATGGGCAGCAGGTCCGGCGGCAGGGCGTCGGCGCCGCGCAGGCCCGCGGCGGCCGCGTTCTCGATCGTGACCTTGATGCCGTTGAACTCGAGGCACAGCGGCGAGTTGATGACCGCGTGGTCCGCGAGGGGCGCCTTGCTCAGCACGACCTCGACGCCGTTGTAGCAGACCCGGAGCCCCGCGTCCGCGAGCGGCGCGGCGGGCGCCCGCGCGGGCGCGGCCGGCGCGGCCGGGGGAGCCGCGGGCGCGGCCGGCGGCGGCGGCGGCGCGGCCGCGCGCGGCGGCGGCGGCGGCGGGACCTCGACGTCCTCGACGTGGTCCAGCCGCTCCGCGGGCTGCGGGACCGCGGGCTTGGGCGCGGCGACGGGCTTCGGTTTCGGCGCGGCGGGCTCGGGCGCGGCGGGTTTCGGCGCGGCGGCGGCCGACGGCCGCCGGTCCCGTTTCTTCGCCGCGGGCTTCTTCTTGCTGGAGATGTTCTTGGCGCTCTTCTTCGCGAGCTCCGCGGCCTCCTCGACGCCCTCGGCGAGGAGCGCCGGGTCGTCGCAGAGGCGCGTGAGGAAGTAGTGGACCGCCTCGTCGAGCAGGATCGACCCGCCGCCGTCCGCGTCGACGACGTCGAAGTCCGCCGACGTGAGGTCGCCGGCGAGGCCGTACTCCCGGAGCTCCTCGTTCATCTTGTCGAGCTGCGAGTCCCACTCGTCCTGGGTGCACCGGCGGTCGTCGGACGTGTCCGCGATGTCGAAGAGGCGGTAGATCTTCATCGCGGACTGCGTCGCGACCATGAGGCAGCGCAGCTCGTTCTTCGTGACGTAGTCGTCGCCGTCGAGGGCGCCCTTCTTCTTTTTCGTATCCTTGGGGTCGTCGGCGACGCCGTTGGCGAGGTTGAACGCGCGGATGAGGCACGGCCGCGCGTACGTGAAGATCGACGCCTTGCCCGCGTCGGGCTTGAAGCCCTTGGAGCCCTCGTAGGCCATGGTGTGCTGGTTGAACCAGCCGTCGTACTCGGCGAGGGAGACAAACCTGTTGCCGTTGTTGTCCATGGCCTTCCAGATGGCCTGGCGCCGCTCCTTGGACGCGTCGTCCTTGCCGCCGGGCAGCACCTCCTCGAGGACGGCGACGTCAAAGTCGTCGGGGTCGTCCGACTCCTTCCAGCACGCCGCCACCTGCTCCCAGGTCGTCATCTCGCAGCGCGGGCTGCGTCTAACGACGATACGGTGCTAGAAGCTGCCCATTAACCGGCGCCCGGCCGCTCTGCACCATCGCGGCATGGTGCTCTGCAGCATCGCGGCATCGCGGCAAGGTCCGCGCACTCGGCGGCGCCGGCGGCCGAGTTGCGCACGCCGACGCGCGCGCCGCCGCGCACGGGCGGCAGCGGCGCCGCCGACTTCTCGCGCTGCTGCCGGTCCTTCTCGCCGATGTCCTTCTGCCAGCTCGCGAAGGACATCATCGTGTCGTTCTGCTGCTTCGCGTTCTCGCGGATCTGGTACTGCATGCGCATCGATTTCTGCATGTCGGGCGTCGCCATGGCGAGCGTTGCGGCGCGTCGGCGGCGGGTCGAGCGCGCAGCGCTTTTTGCCGGTGCTGCTTGGCGACTTCCACGCCGGCCGCGGCCGCGGCCGCGGGGCGTCGCGGCGGCCGTCGACGGCTCGCTGCTCGCGCCCCAGGTCGACGCGACGGCCTTCGCGGCCCTCGCCGCCGAGGTGCACCAGCGCATCGACGCCGTCGAGAGTCGCCTCGACCGGACGCTCAGCGACGACGGCGCCGAGCTCCGCGTCTGGCTCCAAATGGCAGTCGACGCGCAGCTCGGGCGCCTCGCGGCCATCGAGCGGGGCCTCGGCGCGCTCACGAGCCGCGTGTCCGCCCTCGAGCAGGCCGTGCGGCCCGCGGGCCGCCCGCCGGCGGAGGCCATGCCCGCGCCCTCGGCGCTCGAGGACGGCGGCCTCGCGTACCGCAACGTCCGCGGCGACGAGCGGCCGCCGAAGAAGGCGCGGCCCAACGGCGACGGCGCGCGGCCCGTGCTGCCGGCGACGGCGCAGCTCGCGCGGCGCGAGCTCCTCGGCGACCGGTCGCCGCCGCCGCCGGCCGCGCCGGAGCCCGCGGCGCCGCCGCCGCGGAGCCCGCGGAGCCGCCGCGTCGACGAGGACGACGAGTGGTCCCTCGACGACGGCTCCTTCGAGTACGTGGGCCAGCGCGTCGCGCGCGACTTCGACGGCCGCGTCGTCCTCGGCCGCGTCACGGGCAGGTCGCGGGCGCGCCGCCGCTGCCGCCGCGAGCCGTCGCGCTGCTACGTCGCCGAGGCCGCCGGCGCCCGGCGACGGCGACGCCGAGACGCGCCCTCTCCGGCGCCGCGGCGGCGGCGCTTCGACGGCGAAGAGTGCGCCGGGGGCGACGCGGACCGCGCGGGCTGGACGCGGGCGGGTGATCGCGGCCGCGAGCCGTCGCGCTGGTACCTCGTGGACCTGCCCGGCTACGGCTTCAGCGTCGCTTTGGCGCGGAGACGCGGCGCTACACGGAGGCCGAAGAGCCCCCAGCCGAACGACCCCGCACACGACGTCGACATCGCCGCGGCGCGGACCGCGGAGCCGTCTCCTGGGCCGCCGCGAAGACCTAATTACTCAGGCTAGGCCATCTACTTGGACCAGTCAACTGGCCCACGTCTTGAGGTTGTCGGCCTGCGTCTTGAGGTCGCCGGCCCTCGTGTAGGTCGCCGGCAGGGCGTGGGCGTAGCCGGTGGCGACCGCGTTGCGGGCGACCTGGAGGCCGTTGCAGAGCTCGCCGTCGGCGTTCTTCTTGACCGGGACGCACCGCTTCGACGTGACGGGCAGGGACGCGAGCCCGAAGTGGACGCGCATGAGGCCGCCGTGGGCCGCGGCGGCGCTGTAGCCGCAGCACCCGGGGCAGTAGATCCGCTTCGCGCCCGGCTTCGAGGACGCGGCGCTCATCTTCTTCTTCGCCGCGGCCGTGCACTTGTCGCCCTTCTTGACGAGGCCCGGGCACTTGCCCTCCGCGAACTGCGCCTTGCCGTTGGCCTTGCGCGTCGCCTCGAGCTTCGCCTTGGTCTCGGCGGACATGGCGGCCGCGGCCTCGCGGATCGCGGAGCAGCGCGCCGCGCGGTCCTTGGCGGAGAGCGAGGCCCAGCTCGCGGCGACGCCGGCGCCGATGTTCGCGCACCGCGCACCGCGGTCCTCGTCGGAGTACGAGGCCCAGACGTCCGCGAGGTTCGCGCACCAGGCCGCGTACTCCTCGTCGGAGAGCGACGCCCAGACGTCCTGCATCTTCTTGGACCGCAGCTTGGCGAGCTCGCCGAGCAGGTCGCCGTGGCCCTCGAAGAGGTCGACGTGGAACGTGACGACGACGACGACGCCGCAGATCCGCGCGATCGCCGCGGCCGCAGAGTCCGCGGCGACGTAGATGACGCGCTTCGTGGGCGCGTTGAAGATCTTGCCGTTCTTGATCTTCTCCTGGATGTCGCCCTTGATCGAGAGCAGCGCCTCCGGGTGGGGGAAGCGGCCCACGACGTCGACGAGGCCCGTCGGCACGAGCTGCTTGGCGACGTAGGCCTCCGCGACGTCGCCGAAGGACACGACGTTGGCCTTGGCGCCGCGGGCGGCGACGTTCAGCGCGAGCGCGGCGACGACGTAGTCGCGGTGCAGCGTCGCGAGCTCCGTGGCGATGGCGATGTCGCCGCGGCAAAGCGCGACGAACTCCTCGGCCGGGCAGAGCCGCTTCTTGCCGCGCGACACCTCCATGCGGAAGAGGAAGTTGTCGAAGAGCACGCCGGCGTCGGCGATGGCCTTCGCGGCGTCGGCGCCGGCGGCGATGGAGCGCCAGAGCTTGAACGCGGCCCACTGGATGCAGCAGTTGTCCATGTTCATCATCCCGTCGCCCTTGTCGCCGCGGACCTACGAGAGCGACGGTCGGGACGAATTCGTCGAAACGCGAGAGTAGCGGGACGCGGCCGGCGCGCGACGTCGTAGTTGAGGATGCCGAACCACTTCGCCACCTCGATTTCGCTCATGGTCGCGCGCGAGAGCGAGACTTTCTCGACGAGGTCGTAGTACCGCGCACGGTCGAGGAGGTCCTTTTTGGCATTTTTGAAGCGC